CACACCCACCCACACCCACACCCCACACCCACACCCACCCACACCCACACCCACGCCCATCGATAGCTTTTTTCTGTTTGCTTGGGGTGTTACTTTGCCATCAACTTCTGTCTGTATAAATCGAAGCAACGATCGCTACACGTCTTTCGCAAGAATTTTCATGATTCAGCCATCTAGAAAGTTCTCGAATGTAGTATCCTATTTGACTTAGTCACTCGGAAGAACTAGATAAGATATTATTATCTTTCTCAATTTCTTGCCACGTTACTATTGCATCATTGACTTTATTACTTGACATGAGAAATTGTACTTTTTGTATATACTTAGCTTAAGAAATACCAATGTAATATATCAACTATATAAATAGAATTTAAAAATCTTTTTAAACTTATTTTTTCTTTGGATAAATCAGACAATTGACCAAAATTATTTTATGGAAAAAATTATTTCGTCAATTATAAAAAAACTTAAATTAAAAGACCGCCAAATAACAAATATTTATAACTATGGTTCATGGGTTTATGGTACAAATCATGCAAATTCTGATCGTGATTTTCTTTTTATTATAAAACCTGCATATGCATATCAACAAAAACGCTTAAGATTTCATCAAGATTTTGATTATTTTCATTCATTTAAATTGCATCGAATAAAAAAATGTGATATAACAATTCATACATGTGAAAATTTTGAATTATTATTAGAAAAAAATTATATGTTAGCTGTCGAATGTATATTTTATCCAAATGAATTTATTTTAAGAAATAAGATTGATTATAAAACAATATATTTATCAAAATATTATAATCCATTACGATTAAAACAAGTTGTATTTTATGAAAATTATTCGAGTTTGAAATATATAATTGATGATGATGAAGATAATTTAGATCATATCTCGACAGAATTAAAATCAAATACAATTAATCAACTTTTATGTGATGCTCTACATATAACAACTCAAGATGAAGATCGAATACTTAAATATTTATTTCATGGTCTTAGATATTTAGATATTGGTGAACAATTAATTCGAACAAAATCAATTTATGATTTTAAAAGTGTATCATATATATTATCGGAAATAAAACAAATATTTATAAATAATATGAAAAACATTGATTTTGTTGTTGATTATTTTGAAAACAAAAGTGATGAATACAAAAGAATAATCGATGAACTTGTACCAACAAATATTATTAATGGTGAATTTAAAGTTCATATTACAATTCGTAATCGAAATATACAAAAATTTTTAAATATCTGTAAAATAAATAATATTAAAGTAATTTGTATTCATTTCAATGATGAAGATCATATTGAACAAGTAATGACATCTTCATATCATGTTGGAACATATTCTGATATAGTTGAACAAATGAAAACTTTAATTACTAATACATTTAATGATTTTGATATAACAAGATTAAAAATAAAATCATTACCATCGAACAATGGTATACCAGAGAATGATATTGATAAATTATTCTTTTGGGATAAAAAATCAAATTATTTCGAATTTCATTATAAAATATTTATTAAATCAAAAACAAAATTAAGAAAATTAAAACAATTATGTCAACAACAAAATCTTTATCTATCATATAATGCATTTGAAAAACCATCGATGGATAATATGTATTATATTGTTACAATGCGATTATTTAACAGTGGTAGAAGAAATGCATTAATTGGAAATAATAATATTATTCAATATTTAACAAGATATGATTTTTTACCATTGAAAGTCGAACAATATTTCGTAGCTTATGATTCAAATATTGACTTGGATAAGAGATGGAAAAGAATTACATCAGATTTACCACAAACTAAGTCAAAAATTGTTAGGATTGGTCATAAATATCGAATTGGTGGTATACGTCGAAAAGTACCTAAGAGATCTACGGAATGATTCCTTTTAGTTTTGTTTTTGCACCAATGAAATTATATTTATTCAAGAATCGAGAGAGTTTTGGTATTGATGTGTGTAGGAAATAAATATTTGAGATATGAATAAATTTTAAAAATTATTTGAAAGCAGAAGTTATTGATTGCTTTTGTTAACATTTATGATTCTATTTATTGTCGATACGTTTTGTTATTTGCTTCAAATTGTGAGTCTAGTCAAAATGAAAAAAAAATGTTTGTCTTTATCTAAAATATTCACAGAGAAGGGTGTGGGTGTGGGTGTGTGGGTGTGTGGGTGTGTGGGTGTGTGGGTGTGGGTGTGGGAGTGTGGGTGTGAGTGTGGGTGGGTGTGGATGTGAGGATATTTTGATGAAAAGGTCCACACTCACATCCACCCACCCACACCCCACACCCACCCACACCCACAACCACACCCAAGAAACATGCAGACCAAGACAGATTGTTCAAGTTGAAACCACTTTTGGATTTACTGCAAGCCAGATTTAAGTCGATTAACATTCCTGGCTCAATTATTAGTATAGATAAAACTATGGTACCATGGAAAGACAGACTTCACTTCAAGCAATTTATTCCGGGCAAATCGCATAAATATGGCGTCAAGATATACAAAGTATCGGGTACGAATGAATATACTTGGAATTTTATGGTTTATACTGGTAAACAGGATCCAACGGCTAGTCTTGGACACGCTCAAACAGTCGTGATGGATTTAATACATGATCTTTTGGGATGTTATCGAACTGTAGTAGCTGACTACTTCTTTACGAGTATTCCTCTTGCAAAATGTCTATTGCAAAATGATACGTATCTAATTGGAACATTGAGAAGTAGTCGTGCTGGATCAGAACATGAAGCTGTTCAGAAAAAGCTCAAGAGGGATGGAGTTTATGGGCTCCAAAACAAAAACGGCATAAAATTAATCAAGTAGAAAGATAAAAGAGACGTTTTGATGATATCCACAAAACCGTCGCATTCAGCAACTTTGGTGGATACCAGGAAGGCCAATAAATTAAATCAGCGTATCATGAAGCCACAAGTTGTCCTCGACTACAATGAAGGAAAACAAGGTATAGATTTATCTGACAGCTATCAGCATACTATACATGTCTCAGACGATCTATAAAATGGTATCAAAAAGTGGCATTTGAATTGATATTTGGAACGGCAATAGCTAATGCCTATTTGATCTATAAGAAACATTACGACGCAAGCAACATGACGATGCTACAGTTTCGTGAAAGTCTTGTACGATCATTACTCCTTGGTACACCATTCGAGAACTTGAAATCTGGTCCGAAGCAACAATCAACAAGTAATTCGAAGCGTAAACTAGCTGATCATAAGCTTGAAGAAAAGAAAGGGTCTGCACGCAATGTCCGAAGACGCTGTGTTGGCTGTTACGAGAAAAACAGGATAGAACAATCAAGAGAAGAGTGTCATGCAACAACAAAGAAAATAAAAACTTTCTGTTCTGATTGTAACAAATTTTTTTGTGTTGATTGTTTTAACGAGAAGCATTACGCTATCAATAAATGATTTTAAAAATAGCGAAGGCACACATTACGTCTAACCTTTCACCTACGAATAAAAGAAAAGAAAATGTTTTTCTATTAAATTTCTTGTTAAAATATAGTGGGGCCCACCGGTGGGCCCCATCGACTCGAAAGGGTTAAGCACGAATTGTCATCTGTATTTATTTCAAAAATATATTTTTAATATGTAATATTCTCACAGAAACATTATATCAAGTGTCTTGAGTTTCTCTTTTAAACAGTATTTATCCTAATTTTATCGTTTTTTCTCTCAGAACATATTTTAAATAAAGACAAAATCTAAACAATCGTTTATTTATTATTTTTTCACTATGAATATTCATATAAAATATCGTCATATATGATATGAACTTTCATCAACACTTTTCTATTATCGAAATATTATTTTATCTGTTTTTTTTTGTTTTGTAATTAAACATATTAATATTCACTATCTTATTTTATTCTTTAAAATTTCTATATTAGATAGCCATTTAGATATTTATATTATATTTATGCCATTGTTTCTTTTTTCTTTTATGAAATAATACTATAGATATTGGAAAAAGTGAATTACTGTTACATTCGTTTATTTAACAAAAAGGTATAACAATATTTATTCGAGATTATTTTTTTATTTTGATAAAGTTTCAACATTCACTTTAGATCAATGCTTTTTAGATAACCAAAAAAGATTCTGTTAATCAAAAAATATTTATTTTTCTATTAAAAAGCCAATGAGAATTTCAATGAAATAAATTTCTATATGTTTCTTTGTAATTAAAGAAAGTTCTAATTAAAAAAAACTGATATTCATAATAATGATTATGAATTTGATTTAAGTATATATAAAATATTTTTTTCGACATCTAATTGCTTATCTTAAATATAAAATAAAATATGATTATGTCATTTTCAAAAGTTTGATCTTTATAAAACACAATTGTGAAGCTGGTGTTTGTGGGTATTGTTAAATAATGTGTCCTACTCACATGTAAACGTACATTCACATCCAAGTGCAAGGAAGAAGAAGAGAAACATAAACAAAATACAAAAAGAAAACACGCACAGCTGATAATATGCCCTGTTGCTACCAGCTCAAGTGGCACAAAAATCAGTTTTATGATAATGTGTTTATTACAATATTTATTGAATAGTGATCAAATAGTATAGAAAGAGAGAGCAAATGACGCTTTATCTGTTCGTAAAAGATGAAATTTTTCTTAAGCATTCTATACGAAATTGAGATGCGAAGACTACTACTTTTCGTCTGCCCTCAGTAGTTCTTCTAATTTTCATATATATGTTAAATCACATGTATTCTAAAATAGACATTTAATAGAAATTTGTTTCAATGATAATAAAATTAAAATCATTGATACTTCAGAATCTTTCTTCTGACTTACTCCACATAATAAACGTTCGCATAACATTTTATGATAACATTTTTCGAAAGTATTTTTATCTTTAACATAATCAAAAACTATCTAAATTAAAAAACTAAATCAAAAAAAAAGGAAATACAAATAGAAAATAATACCATAATCTGATCGAATTCATCCTCAATATCGATTTTACTTCTAAAATTATTCATAGATTATAATTTAATAAGTAAATATCAAATCTAAACAAACCCTTCTCATAAAAGTTGATCACAATATTGGGCTAATAATTCAGCTGATTTTCCTGCATTATCAGCACTTTCTGGTAATACATTATTATTAATAAAATTTCTACACCTCTAAATACACAAGATCATAAATGAAATTATCTTGAAAATAGTCAATTTACCTTCTCAACAACAGCAATAAAATGTTCATTCTTATTAAAAAATTCTTGTGCCACTTTGAAAAATTCCTCACGAATATTAAGGATTAATTTAATATAATTAGCTGGAACCTAAAAAAGGGAATAAAATAAAATACGTATAATTATAAGATACGATAGTAAATTAGTTTTACATCGATTGGTGTGAAAGATTTAATAACTTTTGGACAAAAATTTTCTTCAACAATCTTTTTTAATTCAATAATCGTATCTAGTATTCGACCAACTAATTTGAATAGAAATGCAAAATCTATCAAAAAAAAGCGAATCATTTAAAATCGGTTATATGAAATTTTCAAGATTAATTATGTTGATAAATTTTTTTTGTTATATACCTGAATAGTTTTCATTGTGTAAAAGTGGTTTTGCTTCAGTATAGATTGTTTCAAGTTGATCAAGAATGAATATTTGTTCAAGTTTTTTAATTAATGGTGTTAATGTTGATGGATGTAAATATAATTCTACTCGATGTATTTCTTTTTGAAAACGTTGTTCTACCTGTAATAAGATAATATCAAATGTTTCATCATTTCTATAAGAGGCCAAAATAGAAAACCTTTTTTAAATATTCATTTATTGAATTCTCAACAAGATTAACGACTTCCCATCGATAAAATTCTTCTCTATATTGAAGAAATGGTACTTCAAAGTTATCTTTATAAATTTTTAATTTTGAAGATGGTATTTGATCAATATGATACGGTACAAATGAATCTTCATTAGAGTTCATTTTGACTAAAATTTTCCTTATAAATTTCAAGAAAAAAAGAGAAAAATCTCGATCTTTACCATAACTTTGTACAATTGTATGTATTAATCGAGTATCAATTATTTCATTTTGATGTTCGGCATTGATGAATTGAAGACATGTTAATGTTAGTTGACTTCGCAATGGTTCAAAGAAAACAAGCTTTCAAATTTCTATTGCCATCTAGAATTATGTTAGTTTTATAATTGACTTGAAAAGATAAAGATTCGAACTTAACTTACAATGAATACTTCATAAACATCTCTTTTTCCTGAATCATATACCTTTCGTATCCAAGATCGATTTAGATAATGGCAAAAACTATTTGTTACCTTACTTGAAAATCGATAATTTTCTCAATTTTTGGCATAGAAACAAAGTAAACTTTCGTCTTCTAAATCTAGTCCTTTCTACAAATAAAAATGTCATACCTAACATCACTTGCGAATTAACTAATTAGATAATTGTATGTGAATCAAGAAACTTGATGCACAACACTCAAACTAGACAAGTAAGAGGCATTAATATTACTGTTCTCAATGTTTCTACCATGATTCATATCCAATACTTGAATAATAGAAGTAAAATCTTGTTAGATAGTATAATATTGTGCATACATTGTTTATTTTAAATTGATTCTTTCGTTTTAAATACTACACAAATGACATCAATCAAATTTAAAGGACTTGAAAATGACTTTAGAAAAATTCTGATTTGTTTTGTTTTTTAAAAATAATTTTTCATTAGATGAAATTAATTATTTTATTTCATCGTCTTAGAAATGTTTAATGTCATATCATGTTAGATAAATAAAATTTTAGCATGAAACTGTTTACTTGAGATTATGAAATGAAATAACAAGATGTCATATCGATTTTAAATGATATCCTTAGAGATATCTGTGAATGCTAACGAAGCTCAAAAAACAAAAACAAATCAATTCAGATGTAAAAATAGCATTTGAGTACTGTTGAACATATGTGACTAAGAGTAGTATATAGTTGTTATTATTAAATGAAGTCACAAGGGTGTACCGAAACACCAATAGCACGTGAGGACACCGTATTTTTCAGTACAGAAAAGTATTCCAAATAGGGATATTTCTTAGCTAAATTTCTAAATTAGGGTACTTATCATCGGATCATATTGAGTCGTGCTCCTTTAAAATACGTTCATGATTTTAAAGTTCTCTGTGAATCATAATAGCAACAATACGAACATAAAATTAAGAAGAATATGTTTCCTTTACAGTAATATCTGATAGAATTTAATTTTTTGAGAATATATTTTTAATCATTTCATATTAAATAAAAAGACAAGAATGAATCTATTTTTTTAAAATATTGTATGATGAGTGATTTATCTCAATTGAATCTTTTTTAAACTAGAACACTGTACTAGGAATTTATAACTTTTTCTATTTTGATAGATTAGTTTACATGAAAATTCAGAATATTTTTTGTTCCCATTTTCTTTCACTTGACAAGATGATGTTCATGATGACTAGTCTATTCTAACAACAGATTGTTGTTATTCGAGAAAAAGATACATAAACGCTCTTATAAATATTTATTTTTAAACTTCTTATAGTCTTATAATTGAATAAATATTAATTATTCTCTCGAACAACTAATCTTACTTTAAAAATTTATTCCAAATAATTTTTCAATTCGAAATATAATTCTTCATCCACAGCATTGGCTGCATCATCTAGATTACGTATTTGATTAATTTTAGTGGATTTTCCAAATTTTGTTGATCCAGAGCTTTGTGATTGAGTATTTGTACAATAATTATAAACAGCACTATATATTCAACTAGTCAAATGATGAAATAGAAACAAGCAAACGAAGAAGGAACTCATATTTACGTATAAAGTTCACCATATAACATAGTTGACATTTCTTTAGTTCGATAAATATGTTCCAGACCTTCGAATACTTTTATCCAAGTATCATTATTATAATTGTCTATGTTTACCATTTTTATTTCAAATTAATATCTATGAATAAAAGACCAATAATATTAAAGTCACATGCGTTGTGAATAAATATTAGATGCCATACAAGTTTTACTTGCCATGTGACATCAACTTGAAGTAACTCGAGTTTCAAATATCAAAAGATTTCTAATGTCATTCAAAACCTTTTTCAGACTCAATTCTGAGAACCTCACTATTATATAAACGTCATAATTAAGGATTGTTATTGAATCGAAGTACCCGGGCAGACAACAAAACGGCAAAAACGGCGTTTAAACGTCTCAACATCTGAACTATTTAAACAGTGTCATTAGTCGCCAAAAACGCGTTAAAACAGTTTATGAAAAATTAACTTTTAACACGTTTTACATGTTTAAACGCTTGGAGTCATTGAAATTGTAACTGTTTTAACGCGTTTTTGGCGACTAATGACACTGTTTAAACAGTTGAAATAATTTCCCTTGTCACGCCTCTTAATGATCAACAAACGTTTCATCTAAACGATGAAGTATCAATAATTTATAACTAAATTTTCTTCTCATTGATAAACTGATTGATTATATTCAAATTATCATTAGATTAATGTTAAATTGACATATGTTTATAGTTTATACTTTGAAAACAGTGCAGAGAATTTATCTCTCATCAGTTCGTTTCTTTTTATGTTAAGAGTAAGTGTATATTTTACTATTTACTTATTGATATTTTTTTTCTTTTTGTTTTTTTTTCAATAGTGGAAAGAAAGATAAAAAATGTAGGTTTAATCGAACAGCATTAACACCTTGTCATACCATTCCACTATTAGAAAAAAAACAAAAAGAAAAAAATACCAACAAGTAAATGGCAAAAGGTAAACTTACTCTTAACATAAAACGAAACGAACTGACGAGAGATTTAATTCTCTGCACTGTTTTCAAAGTATAAACAATAAACATATGTCAATTTAACATTAATCTAATGATAATCTGAATATAATCGGTCAGTTTATCAACGAGAAGAAAACTGAATTATTTCCATTCATGTTTCAAATAAGTGACGGATAAGATAGACTGATGAATAGATTTAAAATAGTACGACTAACACAGGAATTGATAAAAAGGCAAAGCACGGACTATCTAACCAGCTTCTAGTATAAGGAAAACTACAATCGGAACTACTATGGTAGACAGATGTTCTTTTCAAGTATCATTAATAAATTTAACCTCATTTCGATCAAATTCTAAAATATCAAAGTACGGAGATATGATATAACTAGAAATGTCATCAATGCACTACGAAATCTCATAATTAGTGTGTATTAAGTCGGTCGCGAAATTGATTAAGGCACACCTATGCATCAGAATGCTATCTACTTTTTCCTGTATTGACGATATTTCTTTTAAAGCTCATTCATATTTCGATGACTTAAGATTCCCTTTTCATCGAGTAGAAAACTCAACTGTTTCAAACGTCTCATATGTCACACGTACTCGTGATGAACATTATATATGAAACATTTCAAGTGAGGAATATTTAATGGACCCTGCTATGTTTATCGTCTGCGAGCGACTCTGCTAGTTGTATTGTCATAAGTATCGTACATGTTATGTCTAAGTCAACACTAACCTAGTGAATATTGAAGTATTTTTCACAGAAACTCACTATTAATAGCCATGCAGTAAGTGTCCTATTCTTTCTCTCGTTCTGAGTGATTTCCGCAGAAAAGAACTTATCTAATTCGAACATATCCAGTTTTACACAAAAGAAGTATGTGCCATTACATATAGTGAATTTAACATTAATTTTAAGTATACGTTAGAAATAAAATGGCCTACTCAGTTAGGCAACTATGTGAAAGAAACAGAACACAAATGAATTCCAAATGAAAAGAACAGACGAATAATCGGACGAGAGAGTGATAAAAGAATGACCTCTTTTTTTCCTTTTTCTGTGAAATGGACGGACGGAAAGAAAAGACAGAATGGAAAAAATTTCTTGCAAATGTGGACTGATGATAACTCTGTTTCTATGTGACGATGATAACTAGATGAAATATACAATAGTCAAGTTTTGAAACTTTTATTGAAACAGCTAATCTCTATATCATTTTTTAATGATAACCTATATGAGAACAGGATAACTTGTTTATCTTGGTTAAACATGATTGTTGCCCATACGTACTTGCACTTTTAAAAGAGAAATAGAGAAGATTATGATTATCATATAATCTAAGAAGGAAGGAATCGTTTATGTTGTTAGTATGATATACTAACATGTAATAACATTAATGATGATTTTCTCCTTCCATTTAGTTTCTGAGCGTTAACAATATTTGCCTGCACTTATTATAATTCACAAAATACAACTGAGCTAGAATTAATCTTCTTAAATGTGCAGTAAAATAAACCAATAGTGGTTAAGATGATGTTATAATATTCATTGAACAAATCACTATAACGTTAATTGTCTACACGCTGATTGTTAAAGATATTCAGCATGAGATGTGCTGCACGCCTATTTCTGTTAAGCAAATCAGTTTATGCAGTTACTCTGCGGCAAATCAAAGATAAGCCTTGTTACATTCTCATCAGATAATAACACCGAACAATATTTGTCTTAACGGTTTTCAATTGACAGTGGAATATTGCTGAGTAGATACACTGACAATACATCAATATAGAATATGTAAACTCACTACGCGAAGTATTTTCAGTAAGATCGTTATACTGCTATCAATTTTGACTTCGACTTCATGACAATAAAAAAATTTTCTTGGTTTAAAATTTCTGTTTGCTAATAATAAATATCGGACCTGATTCTTTGCTGTTTATTAGGAAAAGATACATGTTCTAACCATCAGTTGCCTGTTACTTATAAACAACGAACTGTAAAACTTATTACTTACTAGAAAGTAACCAGACTGATTACTCACTATGTTGTGTTACATGATTTAGATACATTCAAACAGGTATAACTATTACAGAATAGTTAAATTAAAAATTTACTACTCATTAGTAACAGATTAGTAGGGCAGACTATCACCTACTAGCAACTACGTAGTTAGTGACGATGCACATGACTTACTGACAGCATAATAATAAAATTTTTGTAGTTTTGATTGTTTTTTTGGTAATCGAAGCAAAACGGAAAAATACTGTTAAAACGTTTTTTTTCGAAAAAAAACACGAAATTGGGGCGTTTTTAATGGTTTTGTCAAATTTAGTTGAAAATAAACTGTAAAAACGATTTAAAAGTGAAAAAATCAGTAGTAAACGCGTTTAAACGAGTTAAAACGGTGTAAACGCTTTTTTAACGCGTTTAAACGCCTTTCTGGCCGTTTATTGTCTGCCTGGGTAGTTTTCTCATTTTTATACGATAAACCGTTCAATTCATATCAAACCATCGAAAAAAATTTTCTAAAAGTCTAATGCATAAGATTGGTATCGTTAGAAAGAGCGCAAAAAACTGAGTATTACCCTAGAATATGAGCGCGGAGTATAGTGTAGTCCCAAGCAAAAATTTTTAAAACAAAATTCCCTGCAAGAAGAACTTTTTTGTTCTTTCTTCAGTTTTTTCTTTCGTTCTGTCATACGCGTATACACACACACATATATATATATATATGCGAACGGCAGAACGAAAAGAAAAACTTTCTGTATAGCTGTTCAGAAGAGTGCATAACATTCTTCACGATGATAATTCATAATTGAAATATTATTTAAAGATTTAATTATATAATAAAAATTTCATAAATTCCGAGCATTAAATTAGTTTTGAAATTCGACGATTTATTAAACGAATAAAATATTTTTTTTATCGACAACGTTCTATTGCTTAATTCATACTGAAAAATCTTTTTTTTTTTATTTCTTTTTCTTGAAAATCGCAAAAGTATATGACACTCAATTCAATTAGGTAGAAGAAGCTTCACTTTTTCAAGCTGAATCGATCGGTTCACTGTCCGCTCTGTTCATTAAATTTGATCAAAAAAAGATTATGTTTCTGGTGAATAAAATTAGCATATTCGGATTCAGCGTGGTCAATTACCCCCATCCATGTTGAGATCTCGAAAGAATACCTCTGACCATAAGCAAAAAATATTTTAACAAAATTCTATAGAAAAACACGTACAGAACAAAAAAATAACAGCTTCGCACTGGATTCGAACCAGCAACGCGTTATTCCACGCTCTTTAGCCACTCAGCTATATGCGAATTATTCTTATCTGTTCTGTCTCGTATGTCGTTCTTCTTTTCTTAATCAAGTTTAATTTCATTGAGTCAATATTCAAATATAATGTCATCACCTTTCATCATAAGATAGGATTTTTTTAACTCACAAATATATTTCATTAAATTAAAATTTTCAACATGTGAATGTCTATTGCTGTCAAGAAAAAATCAATATTATAATTACGAATAATAGTTAGATTTTTAGTCTTTTTTTTTGGTTCTTTTTTTTTTGTTCGAAAAATTTGTTACCTCTCACTTAAGATTGTATTCTTATTATTTTCGAAGTTATTATTCATTTTAAGATATTTTCAAGAAAAAATCTATATTACTTTAGTTTCTTTGAATCAAAATAGCAACAACAAATATTTTAATATAGTTAGTTTCACCTTTTGGCGTGCATGCGTCATAATGATGTATATGAAAAAAAAAGAAATTGATAAGAATGGATACTCATACATGATCCATATGAAACGATGTTAAGTTTAAGAAAGAAAACAAAATAAAATCTTTTTTTTTTAAATCATTTTACGAATATTTCTTAATCATTCAAAGCATCTTTGTAATCTTAGTTAAATATTGTTTATATTTCATGTTACTAAATACTTCGTTTTTCTTTTCACTATCATGAGACTAATAATATTCACTTTATTCATCCGTCATAGTTTTAGAATAAAAAAATATTTATCTGATATCAGGCAACATTTCTCGTAAAAAATTTTTTCTTATGCTTTTTGATATGAATCCTTATAGAACAAGAAGAATTTCTTGAATATTCAGTGATAGACAGCTTA